ATGTCAATTTTCAGCTGAATGCCTCTCAAAGTGAGAGAGTCTTTCCATTATATAGAGAAAATAAAGATTACACATCCCTAAAGATCCGCCATTCCTATCCCTAAAGATCATCTATTCTATCTATACAAATCTGCCATTGAATCCCTCTAAATTTGCCTTGCTATCCCTCCAAATCAGCTATTCTATCACAATATTTATTCATATGATTCTACAACAAATGTATATGATCATGCTAATTTATATCACTATATAATTACATTAATATATACAATCATTTAGTTGTCTATCATGCTAACACAGAGTACCCTTCAGGACAGTTATCAGCTCAGTAGCTCGAGGGTGCGTGTGAAATGGAATAAAACGTAGTGGTTCAATGTCAGCACGAGAAGTAGAAATACCAAGAGTGTTAAGTCCAGGCATTTCTTTTACACCCACAAGTAGACTGTTCTTATAATTTTTAGGCATAATACATAAATATGTCATTTAACTTGACCTCAGCTAGCATATATGCCCTTTAATTTTGGGTGTGCACAAGTAGACACTTAAACTTGTATAAACTTGAACAAGTCGACACACGCGTCATATGTGGCATAGTACAGGTAAGATGCCACATTCCACATATGACGCCAAGTAGGATTTGTGTCTACTTGTTTAATTCTATATAAATTTTAAGTGTCTATTTGTGCACACTCAAAATCGGAGGGCATAAATGTCAGATAAAGTCAAATTAAAGATCATGTTTATGTATTATGCCTAATTTTTAAGAAACGCTAAAACTTAAATAATGCCTATCCTTTTTAAAGTGAAGCAGCATTCCACAATCCACAATATCTCATCTTCTCTGCCCTTTTAGAATTAAAGTTATCGCAGCAGCTCTTGGGTAAATTGAGCTATTTTATTTGAGGTTAATCATTTCTAATCATTTTGATTTATGAACTCATTTCTCATTTTTAATATTTAATTATTTGATGGTTATATGTTTGCGCAGTTTATCATGGATAAAGAGTGGATGCACGAACCAAAATTTTCTAAGAGATATGTTGAGGGCGTTCAATCTTTTATGAAACTTGTTCGGTCTCATTTTGATCCGAACACTAAGATTCGATGTCCATGCCAAGACTGTTTGAATACAAAGGAATTATGAAAGATTACGTACAATGGATATACCACGGAGAACAAACAATCACAAAGAAGAGATAATGATGAAGCATGTCCAAAAAAATATAATGTAAGCAATCTTCTACCATCAATAAATTGCATTCTAAAATGTAGAAATGCTTTTTGTGTTTAAGGCTTCCTTTATTGTAGTTGCTGGTGATTTCTGTTCTGTTTTTTAAATTTAAATGTGTAGTTTAAATGTAGAATGTACCATGTAGCAATTTAATTTATTGCACAATTTTAAAACTTTGGTATTTATATTCTCTTAAACAATGGCAATGGCAATGGGCAATTGGCATGCATCAACATCTCATTTGCCCTGGTTAGCTCTTTAAGGATAATGTTTTTCTTTCAGTTACGGTTGAACATTTTCTCGTTGACAACGAAAAGGATCATTTCATTGCGAAGTAAATTGCTAGAAAGAAAACTTTGATCAACATGCAACTAAACATGAAAATTCTTATATTTCTGTCACAGTTTTAGGACACGAAACAATACATATAATAAATGCTTCTACTTTCAATGCGCGCACAAGAATAGCCAGACGAAGTGTATCAGCATCTACTGAGAGAGCTGCCCACTTCAGATTAATTTTCAAATTGTCCACATTACAATACATTGTGTCCATCCATTGGGTACTTCTATAATAAATGATTATCCTAACTTTTGTGCACGGACAGTAAGTCAATTTGCTCGTTTTTTTACAGTTAACCTCAGGATTTGGTTGGTTGGCATAGCTCATAAGACATGGCAGAAGTCATAACTCCCTTCCATAGTTATGGATTCTCATTGTCATTAGAATCATGCGAAGAACTTTGTTGAATGTTTCGGGAGGTACAATACAATGATTGTTGATTGTTTTTCCATTTATTTTTGCATCATTAGTAAAACCTTCTTCCTCTTCAAGCTTGATAGATAGGGAAGAGCTAATTAGCTCTTTCATAAAGCTATCATTTCCTCTGAGCGCTTCGTAATAACAATGTTTGATTAGTCTATCTGTTTTATTTTCAATTTTATTAACCTTATGAGAAGAGAAACTACATGCAACATTCATCTGGAAAAAAAATAAACTGAACGTACCAATGGACGTTATGGACATCTATATAGGGGAAATGTCAGCTTCCATGAATGAATTATAAGTTCACAACAAACAATATTTATTAGAGAAAAGTATTATTCCAATGCTGTCATAAGACGCTGGTGAGCAGCTAGCACGCTGCAAACAACTTTCAGAAAACAAAGGATCACATTTCTAATGACATATTTATTCTAAAAGAATTTCTTTCCAAGTAGTGCAATCTGTGTCTTATTAAGCTGGAAACCTTTGGCAAGAATATCGTTCAGAATAGGTAGATCTGAAGCAATATTTGGACTAGTAATCATGAAAATTCCAGGATTTTGACTGTTGAAAGTAGCGAGAAAAATAGCTTTTTTGAGTCCTACATTATATTGGAAGTGAATAAGACCTTGTGGGAACACAAACACATCGCCAGGATTCAAGGTTTTGGAGAAGAGACGACTTCTATAGAAGTTTGCAGGATCAGGGACAAGAAATCCTGCAAGGACAGTACCCTCCAGGATAGTTATCAGCTCAGCAGCTCGAGGGTGCGTGTGAAATGGAATAAAACGTAGTGGTTCCAAGTCAAGGCGACCAATAGAAATACCAAGAGTGTTAAGTCCAGGCATGTTGTTTACATCCACAAACTTTGCATAAAAACCAAACCCAGGCGCTACATTTCCCCTAACATTAAGACCTGAAGCAAAGAAATCATTTGGTGTTGCAAGCTTAGGGTCTTTGCAAATCTTTCCATTCACGAAAACTGCACAGGTAAAATAAAATGAAGCAAAGCATATTAATCAGATGATAAGAGCTGACAAAAATTATACGACATATATACAAAAACTATGCCTCATTCCTAAACATTAATTACCTGAAGCCTGAGAGTCGTTAACAGCAACACATATGTCCTGTAGAGGGTTGTTATCATAAGCATAAGCAGGGGAATTACAAATGAAAGCAGTAATGACTAAACTTGTTATGAACAACCACATGCTCATTGTTATGCTTTGGGTTTGTTATGATTTTTTTCGAACAACCAGAAAGGTGTGACTACTTATACTCTCATCTAGTTGAAATATAAGAGAAAAATACTGTGCATTGAAAATTCTGCATCTACACTATTTGGTAGTGCTAGTACAGAGTTAAAGTTTCACATGAGCCAATTATATGGTGTCACGAAATCATGTAGATCTTTGATTGATATGTCATTCCCCCTCCATTCTTCATAGATTATTAGCCCCGGGAAACATATACTAAAAGTTTAGTGTGCAATTTGCATGAAATCTATTTTTCAACTTCAAACTTGTAACTTGTTAGTGTTGCAAGAGAACAAAGAAGCACTTCTTGTAACAAAAACAAAAACAAAAAGGATCAGCAAAGGTTTGTTCTACACCATGCCGCTAGAATTAAGACTGTCACCTTCATATTTGAGTAAGGAATAAATATCAGACCCTACGGAGTTCAACTGACTAGTAGTGCTTGTGACTTTTCTTATTTCGGCTTGGATTGAATACTAGACAGGAAAGGAAATGATTCATTTGGATCGACATGAGTGACCAACTACATTGCCAGAATCCATATTGTATAGTTGAAAGAGGTTGACCTCCTTGCTTCTTTCATGGTATACTCCTCTTCCCACCAAGCCCCTTTTCTCCTCGGTCCACAAAGACAAAAATGTAGGACTGGTGCCAACAGTTCATCACGAAAGTATTGACTCACTAAGTCCGGATCGCTAATTAGTAATATTAATCCTATATAATATTTATATAAATTGAAGTCTTTTAACTTTTACAAGTGAAACTCCAGGATCTTGTCCTAGAGCTCGAACTTATACAATTTAAACTCCAAGCAAGGATACTGTCCCAGAGTCCAGTAAAAATATTGGAGTTCAAACTTCAAACTTATACTGTTATACAGTTCAAACTCCAGATAATATCACGGACTTTCAGTAATTAATAAAAATCTTGACAATTTTCAAAAAGGTGCAAGTGAAGCTATTTGGTGATTACTATTTAATCTATATTCAATTTGTAGCTAATATATGTTTATAAACTTAAGACAAAAGGCTTCTCTACTTCTTTTGGCTTCTTCTTCCAAAAGCTTTTGCTGAGTTTACTTCTTAGTATAGGGAACTGCTATATACTATTACTAACTAGGTTAGTACCTACTCCTTAGTGTTGCCAAAGTAATTAATTAATGCAAACATTTGATAAACAATTTTGTCAAATAACTTCCATGATTTTTTCATTAAATTGTTGGGAAAATGCATAAGTACCCCCCAGCCTATGCCCGAAATCTCAGAGACACACCTAACCTTTACTAAGGTCCTATTACCCCCCCGAACTTAATTTATCTATAATATTCTACCCCTTTTCGGCCTACGTGGCACTATCCTTGAAAAAATTGTCAACACGCGCTGGGCCCACAAGATAGTGTCACGTAGGCCGAAAAAGGGTAGAAAATTATATATGAAATAAGTTCGGGGGGGGGGGGTAATAGGACCTTAGTAAAGGTTAGGTGTGTCTCTGAGATTTCGGGCATAGGCTGGGGGGTACTTATGCATTTTCCCAACAATTTAATGAAAAAATCATGGAAGTTATTTGACAACATCCATGTTTATCTTGCATTCACATTAAATATGTTGTAGCTTGGGTTGAATCAAAGATTTTCATGAATCAAATTTCGTTACTTAATTTGCAGAGGGAAAACTAGAACACTTGGAAGTTTTACTCTTATATTTGCACTCCATTTTTTTGGTAGACACCAGTACTAGTTTAGACAAGAATGTGGCGGAGCCAGAATTTCGACTAAGAGGTGTCAAAATATAAAGAAGTAAAATTGCGTAGAAGTCAAGGAGTGTCAATATGTAATATATATATATATATATGCATAAAAGATATGTTTACCTACACAGTGTAATATTCCGACGAAGGGGTGTTGATCGACACCTCTCAAGTATATGTGGCTCTGCGTACACTAATGAATCTGCAACGGCTTGGGCAGACAAACTAGGAACTACTTCTGCTAGACAAATTTTGATCATCTAGATGCAATTTACTTTCCTACTGCACAACAAGCCTAATGTGATCCAAACAATAATTTTTAACCATCTTAATTGTGGATTACTATGTAGTTGAATCTTTTATTTGAAGTTAAGGTTGTAATAAAAATGTTTGATTAGTCAATCTGTTTTATTTTCAATTTTAAGTTATTAACCTTACAAGAAGAGAAACAATATGTTACTTTTATCTAAAAAAAGAAAAACTGAACGTACCAAGTGGACGTTATGGGCTGAAAACGAAAAAACTGAACGTACTAAGAGCCTGTTTGGATGGGCTTATAAGCTGGTCAAACTGGCTTAAAAGCCAGTTTTTGACTTATTAGAGTGTTTGGCAATTATCAAAGTGACTTATTTTAAGTCAAAAATGACTTATTTTAAGCCAAAAGCTAAAAGCTAGGGGGGGGAGCTTTTTTTTTTTTAACTTAAAAGCTCTTTTATGTTGACCAAGTATATTACCTTTTTGCCCTTAATTCTTTTATACAATTTCCAAATTGCCCATATTGAATTATTATTATTATTATTAT